TTTCCATCTACTACCACCCTCTGTCTTCTATTGGACAGCAAATTCTGGATCCAGACAGACAAATTTCCCCGGATCCCAAACCTCCTTACTTTCTGAATGAGCCTACCGTGGGGAACCTTATCAGACGCCTTTTAAATGCTGTAATTGTACCAGCCTCCTCCATTTCCTCTGGCAGCTCGTTCCACACACGCACCTCCCTCTGCGTGAAAAAGTTGCCCCTCAGGACCCTTTTAAATCTCTTCCCCTCTCACACCTTGAAACTGTGCTTTCCAGTTTGCAATCCTCCCACCCCGGGGGGAAAAGACACCCACCATTAACCCTATCCACGCCCCTCATGGTTTTATAAACCTCTGTAAGGTCCCCCCGCCTACGCTCCAGTAAAAAAACTCCCAGCCTCTCCTGATAACTCACACCCTCCGTACCCAGCAACATCCTGGTAAATCTCTCCCGAACCCCCCTCTCCAGTTTAATAACATCCTTCCTACAACAAAACTGGGACACAGTTGCTCCAGAAGGGGCCTCACCAACGCCCCTGTACAACCTCAACGTGACGTCCCCGACTCCTACTCTCAAAGCTCTGAGCGATGAAGGCGAGCGCTTCTTCACCCCCCTGTCTACCTGTGACACCAACTTTATAGAATTATGTCCCTGAGCTCCCCCCCCTCCAGGTCCCTCTGTTCTACAACACGAGCTGAGCGTTCGTTAAATTTGACCCGCTGCGCATCAGCTCTTTCAGTGAGGTTCCCCGAGACATCCTCACTGATCCTGTACACCATTATCTCTCCTCTCCGCGAGCCGAGGAACTGCTATCGGGTTCAAATGTGGCTGCCATCCACGTGAATGACCAAATTCAATCATATCACGGTCACATTTCCCAAAGGCACCAGCTTCAACGCCATCAATGAGCTTTTTCTGGACCGTCCCTAGTTGCCCCCTTGAGAAGGTGGGGGTGGGGGTCGGGAGGGTGAGCTGCCTCCCTTTCCATGTGCTGTGGGGTGACCCTTAGGGAAGGAATTCCAGGATTGCCACCCAGCCGCACCGAGGGAACGGGGATATATTTCCGAGTCGGGATGGGATCTTGCAGGGGGCTGGTGTTCCCATGTACCTTCTGCCCCTTGTCCTTCTGGATGGAAGTGGGTCGTGGGGTTTGGAAGGTGCTGCCTGAGGGTGTTTGGTGAGTTTCTGCAGGGCATCTTGTAGATGGTACACACTGCTGC